CGATGGGTAGAAACCCTCGGGGCTTGGGTGCCGCGCAAGCCATGCCCTTGCCGAGGTGCGAGTGATCCAGTCGGTCTCCTCCGACCCCCAGGCGAAGAAATTGCCAGAGCTTGTCTTGGCTGTAGGGAGCACCAGCCTCTTCACGCTCGTGAAACGTCAGTCCTGCTCCGGCTGTAATCTGTGACTCAACCTTTGACAGGCAAATACGCTGAACCGGCGTTCGTACCGTTCACTGATTTGTCACGTCTACAGTAACGTCTTCCACTGTGTCTAAAGTCATTAAATGCCACGATGTGTGTTTATCTTCCCGCGTACAGCATATCCCTTCATCTTTAATGTATTGAGTGCTGAATGTGGAAAACACACGTTCAGGAACTAACCTTTCTGTAACAGAACTATTACATTTTCTTGTGCACTCTACCTTCCAAAGGTCAGTCCGGTGCCCTAGTGTTGAAAGCAAAACCATCATCACCTGCTTAAATCCGAGTGCTTAATGCTGTTGACGCAACAACCTGTCTCCCGCAGACCCAGGCTGTCCCCACACGCAGTGGTTGCGATACCTTTATGGATGGGTAGGAGTGAATAAGAGTTGGAACTGTAATTCCTTTTAACCAGCATGTCTCAAACGTGCGCTCAGATGCTTGTTTCCATGATCATTAGAAATGAGTGTGATTTTCTTCTAGGGTGTATTGGATGAGCAACAGGGACAACATCAAAATTATGCTAACGGTCTTTCTGGTAGCAAGACTCACTATGGGCCAGCTGAAAGAGGTAACTAAGCTATAAGACTTCTGTAAGGAAGTCCATGTTGAGACTACATAGGAAAAGCATGAACGCAGCGGAAAATGGCATATATAGCAAAATTTTTCATGCCACTTGGAGTAAAAAATAGATTATTTCAAGTGATAACATGTATAATGTGGCAGAACACAATGAGCTGAGAGTGTGTGTCTTAGATAAAATCATACTGTGGGAGTAATATTTGCACTTTTCTGACAATTGCCAAGGATAAATATGTGTATCTGTGAATGGCAATATAACAGGTTTGGTATGTTATCTGTAAACAGCACTTCTTATTTTTACATATTGAACCAATTTTGATCGCAATGTCTCCTACTCATGTTGGGAAAACTTTTTGCGTACCAAGAAACACAAAAGCAATTACGTTCAGCTTTGAATACACTCTGTTCCTCTGACAGATGAGTAAATATTCCAGTCCTGTCGTTATAAAGTTACCAAAAACCAGAAGAATTTCCCAGGGTCATAGATACCAGCGTAGAAGTCAGAGGGCAGGAGTGCTTGACTTCTAGTTTCGCGATCGGTGCATGAATTCACACGTCAGTAATCTCATCAGCTGTAGACTGGGTCTGCAGCAATTTTGTGTGGCGGTAAGGTAGAAAGGAGTACTGAAAGCACGGAATGCGTGACTACATCCAGTGTAGTTAACTGGATAACTTGGTTAATCAGGAAACGAAATAGCTTTTGCTCCCCCCGCCCCCCGTGAGGAATTTGCTGTTTACCTTGTTGACTGAATCATTCTGCCTCAGAGACAGTTTGCTTACGCAGGTCTTCCCCTGACCTTCAGCACAGGGGTGAAGTTCACCTTTTGTCCTCTTTGTGTTTCCCCATGTAATAGGGGAAGTAATCGTTTGCATTCTTTTCTGCCTTTGGGTCAGGGTATTTAGGCTGCTGCTCAACAGGAAATGAACAGGAAAGAGTTTTTGTCACAGATTACTCCAAACCTTAGATCTTGAGTGGATGGCTAGGTTTTTCTCTCACAGCTCAGGGGTGGGAATTTAGCACAACTGCCTACACTCTGTTCCTAAGGAAACACATTAAGCAGCTGGACATCCGACAGCAGCAGCATTTCTGGTGGAGGGACTCATTAGATGGCATTATCTGTGTAAGTGCAAATGCTCACTGACATCATTAACACACCATGTCACCATACTGCCAGGCAGAGGGGGCTAGCCCCATACCTTCACATCGCTGAGAGAAGGCTGAGCTGCCCAGAAATATTTCCTGATTGAGCCGAGTCTGCTGAGACAGGAACTCCCTGCAATAACTGCCTTCTGCCTGCCATAAACACATTTCTTCAGGAAACTTTCAGAGCTGCCCCATGTTTCAGCTTCTGGGCTGCATAGTTAGTGACCATCCCGCGCCTTTTCCTAGCAATAGGCCAGTGTAAACGGGGTTTTGCTCTGCTGCACTCTTCTCCCGCATCAAGTGAGTTACTTCTGACACCACGCAGTTCATCTCCACCAGAGTAGTAGCAGCGTCAACTTTGCCATCACACTGAAGACGCCACGAGGTGGGCCCTGGTTGCAATCAGAGAACTTAAAGCAGCCGTGAAGGCGCAGCCCTGAATTCAGGGTGGGGAGAGCTGAGTTAACAAAAAAAGCTCCACCAGAGACGACCACCCTTCAAAGACCACCCTTCAAAGGGCAGGTTTGCATCAAAATAAATCCGGTGTAGCAGTACGGAGTTAGCCCTGCTACGCGACGGATGAACCTCAGCTTCTGGTTCTGTTGGGTTCATAATTGGCAAAGCCATGTAAGAACCTGCTGCCCTCCCCATACGAACCTGTCCCAGGTGAAGATATACCACCCTCCTTTCTCCCCCTTGCCAGACTCCCAGACCGCAGTGTCTGGTTCTTCAAAATATTAGGTGATACGATGCCTCTGTCTAAGCTAGATAGTTGTTAAGTAGCCTTGTGCTACTTAACCAGTACTCTCAACCAGGAGTTGATTTCTGACAAGCTCTCTAGTCTAACTACTTGGGGATGCAGTGGTTATGACTCTCGCGGACCTAGAAGGATTTTGAAGCTGTGTGCCCCCTTGGAGAGTTTTGCTGCTGTAGCAATACTGCTAAAATGTGAAGAGGATCTAGGACTCGGGCCAAATCTTGCCATGAAATAAATTTATTTTTCCTTCAGCAATAGGCATAATAGAAGATTTGCCATTATGAATCATACTGTAACAGAAAATTTGCTCTTGCCCCCAAATTTTCTGTAGAAAGTATCTGATGAAATTTTGTATAAAAATCTTTTTCAATAAGAAATACAATTTTTTTGTATGTGCAAAAAATCTGTATCAGTTATCAGCTCTTGGTGACTTGGGAACTGCTGTGGCAGTATGTGTGGATTGTCGACAGCCCTCACGTGAGGTTAGGGACATGGTTTAGGGGGCTCTGCCAGAATAAAGCAGTTTATCTTCAAGCAGTATTTTCACTGAGATCTCTACCAGTAAGACATTTTTCCTCTCTCTGTTGACGATTTGTCATTTTAATAACACCATCTTTGATCAAATTCCATGAGTGAGGCAATAACCGTCCACCACAGACCTTCACCATGGGTGAGGACTGGGATCCCTGTGGGTGTTTAAAAGACGTGTAGACGTGGCGCTTAGGGACATGGTTTAGTGGTGGACTTGGCAGTGCTAGGTTAACGGTTGGACTCGATGATCTTAAGGGTCTTTTCCAACCTAAATGATTCTATAATTTTATGATCCAGTAGGTAGTGACATCAGGCTCCCGAAGAAGAGAGGTCTTTAATTTCTCTCTGACATCCTAGGATCATCAGCCTAACCAAAGCCGAGCTGTGCTGCAGAGGTGGGTATACAGAATCCAAGTGCCAGGAGCCACAAAACCAGTTAACCTGTTTCAGGTTTGATCCAACTAATGTGCCTTTTTCTGCACGCTGCCACATTCACATTTTGGTGCAAGACTGTAGCCTGGAATAGATGTTTGGTCTTGCTGAACAGCACTTGGAGCCAGCTGATGGGAAGGACACAGGGGAACCATAAAATCCGAGAGAGACTTGCCATCAGCCCTGCGTGCCTGGCAGTGGCTGGCGCACCAATGTGAAGAAACACAAGCAAGATGCAAAAGTCTGTTTGGGGTGGACTTGCCCAATGAGCAGAGATCTT